GTGCATGCCTGGGGAAGGACAGCAGCCACTGTGGCAAAGGTGGGAGTCCCACTGGATCCTTCTCCCCTATCTCTCCATAGGAATAAAAGCCTTATACGCTGTGAGAAGGTACCAAATACTGTCATCCTTAAGGCACTGCGAAAACCCATTGCAGGTAAGAGAAGGAATAGAACATAACCCTCTACCCCTGGGGAAGGGGCAGGATACATGCTGGGCCCAGAATTACAGCTGGGAGAGGGGCATGAGCACTGAGAATGCTACTCCCACCCAAGATCCAGGGACACAATGCCTTCCTAAGACTGAGGGTTAATTAGAACAGCAGAGAACAGCATGCCCCTCACCTCCCACTAACAGAGTTAACAAGCTTCTAGTAACAAGTAACAGTGGTCTACTGCTGGGTGAGTGTAGAGAGAGACCCTCTCTGAGGGGCAGTGCAAAGGGAAGCAGGAAACAGAGGGCATACTCAGATGAGTTCTGAAGAGAATTTAATGAAAGGACTATTTACAGAGGGGAAGGCAGATTCTGAAACTAACAACGAGAATACTGAGGCACTGAGGGATGAGCAACAGTGGGAGACTGTTAAGGCTTGAAGAGACAAGGAGAAGAAACAGTGTAATTGGAGTGATAGCTAGAGCCAAGCAAGCGGGGCCACCTGGCAGGTGCTGTAGAGACAGGCAAATACAGTCACTGCCACACCATAAGGAATTATGGTTCTGGATTTTGAGTTCCTCTCTCTTCTTGCCCTCTGATCTCCTGCTGGTGCCTTCCATTGGCTGACCCAATCAAAAGTCAGCGGGCCAGGGAGCTGGGGTGTTGCAATCCATAAATCAGTCCCTTGGGGCACAGAGCTGAGAAGGGTAGAGGATGGACAATGTGGGTGCAAATGGAAAATACCCAGCATAATACATCCTAGCTTTCCTCCTGCATCAACACTGGCTCCATCTCCATAGCCTTGGCAGCCTCTCCCTCCTCAGGGCTTAGACTCAGGCCTTCTTCTCTTATCTCTCTACCCTCTCTCTAGGTGATATCACGCATATTCATGGATTGTGATGTCACTGGTATGCTGATTACTCCTATATTACTCTAGTCCTCTCCTTGAGTCCTGCACTAAGATCCAACTGTCTTGACAGCTACTTTCAAGTATCTCAGACACTGCACGTCTCACCCATCTAAGCTTATTAATAGTCTTAATTCCCTCTCCCAGTCTCCAATTCATCAGCAAGAGCTATCAATCCCAACACTAAAATAGATTTCAAATCTGTTCATCCTTTCTCCTTGTCACCCTTGCCACCATATTACTCCTGATCTCTACACTTCTCTTTTGTCCTCCTCCAATCCATTTTGGACTCAGCAGTCAGAGGGATCATCTTAAAATGTAGACTAGATCATGCTACTTCCCTCTTTAAACTTTCCAGTGCCTTCCTCTCCTACCTCATATCCACCACACTCCTGCTTACTATTGTCTGGCTGCACTGGCTATTCCATATCCTCACAGAAGCCAAACTCTTTCCTGACCCAGGGGCAAACCTCCCCTCTGCAAGTAGCTGCTCCCACCTGGCCCTCATGTTTCAGAAGCTGTCTCTTCCTCATCCTTCAGGGAAGCTTAAATGTCTCCTCCTCAGGAAGACTTTCCCTAGCCATCTTACTTGAAGTAAGATGTCCCTCCAACCTGTTATTCTCAATCTTTGCAGCTAGTTTACTTCCTTCTTAGCATTAATCACATTCTAATTTTCCTGTTTATTTATTTGGTTATGTTTTTGTCAGTCTCTCATACTAGACTGCAAGCTCCAAAAACCAGGGATTATTAGGGGCCAGTCCAGTGGCATAGTGGTTAAGTTTGCACAACCCGCTTCTGGCGGCCCGGGGTTCGCAGGTTCAGATCCTGGGCACGGACCTATGCACTGCTCATCAAGCTAAGCTGTGGCAGGCATCCCACATAAAGTAGAGGAAGGTGGGCATGGATGTTAGCCCAGGACCAATCTTCCTCAGCAAAAAAGAGGAGGATTGGCAACAGGTGTTAGCTCAGGGCTAATCTTCCTCACAAAAAAAAAAAGGCAGGGATTATTAAGTCCTATGACTGTCTCAATACCCCATATTCCATAAGCCTAGCATAGTGCCTGGCAGAAAGCAGGTATTCAATAAATATTATAACACTTTATTACGTTTTCCATGTGCCAGGGACTATGCTTAGTTCCATAACAATAAGATTGCATTTAAATCCGCATAATAACCCTTACAGGTAGGTACCATTATCATTCTCATTTCAGAAATGAGGAAACTGAGGCATAGGAAGGGTAAGCAACTTACCAAGAGTCACATGTTTAGGAGGTGACAAAGGTGAGATTCAAACTTAGACAACCTAATGCCAGAGCTGGCATTTTTAATCACTGTGCAATACCTACTCCCACATTCATTTCCATGGATGAAATATGACTATATGAATTAATTAATAAAGTAGAAGGACAGACATAGATTGTACCCATAAGTCAGCCTGGGGAAGTCAGAAAGGATAGTATTGAAGCTGAGACATAAGGACTGAGTTTGCCAGATTGACACATGGGAGGGAATGTGTGCCAAGCACACAGAATCATACATGCAAAGACACAGAGGCAGGAGAGAGGGCGGTATGTTCAAGGGGAACAAGTAGTTCAGTTTACCTGGCATATAAAATGAGGAGAGGGGGTGAAGGAAATAGGGTAGTAAGTCAAAACTGACGAGGCTAAATAGGAAAGATTTATAGTCTACATAGAGCAGTCTAGATTTTTATCCTGTAGATTAAAGATTCAAGAAGCCACTGAAGAAACCTAATCAGGATGGAGACACAATTAGGTTTGTGATTTAGAAAGATCCCTCTGGCAATGGTATAGAGCAGTCTTTCTTAAAGTTGAGTAGGCTACATTATTGCAAGAGAAAAAATTTTGATGGACACCCTCAGTGTCTGCTGATATTTCTTACTATGTTGCTTAAATACTACAAATATATAACAAGACATAAACTTCCTATTCTTGTAGCTCTTAGTCATAAAACTAAAATAAATGTATATATTGTCTAAACCAAACTAAAAACCAAATTAAACTTCAATTAACAATAATTTAATGCAATGATGTTTCACTTAAATGAAATCGCTACTCAGAGCGTGCAGTGGTATTAACTATTTTGATGCAAGTTCATTGGAGTTTGAAGAAAAGAGAAAAGGAGATCTGAAAAACATTGCCTATGGATTTAAATTGGATCACTTTTAATGCCCTTCAAGAGTTACAGGTAAAGAAATTCCTTTTAAATTACATTTTGGCTGTCAAACTATACTTTGCAGAACTGTACGTCTAGAACGTCACGTTCCAGATCGAACCTCATGGATCATAGCTTCAGTAGTTACAACCACAAAAATTTAAAGTTTTTATATTTTTGTTTCTATGTTAACCTTAAAAAGCTTAATATAAACACCTGGATCATCTGTATGACTACTTCATAACAAAACTATGCCACGAGATTTCAGAACCCACATTTGCCTTTGAGTTTATGATCCAATTACTACCATTTCAATTATTTTGGATTGGTGTGAGGAAACAGGTGGGCTTAATGTGTAAATGCTGCTTTCCAGCATTAGCAGCTGGATGAAAGCTAACAGATCCATGGGTTCTGAAAGAAAGAAGGTTGCTCAGTATTTCAGAGGAGATTAAAGGGAAAATTAAAAAAAGGCTGGAGCAGAGCTGAATCTATCATTCATAGAGTGCTGACAATGTGCCAGGTACTGTGACAAACATCTTACATTCTCTGTCACATTTAATCTTCACAAAAAACCCTGTGGGATTCATATTATTTTACATTTTTATAGATGAGGAAACAGGTTCAGAGAGATAGGGTCAGACAACTAGTAAATGACAGAGCCAAGATTGGGACCACTCAGGACTAACTTCAAGTCTATGCTCTAAACTATGAGTCAATATGCCTGAATGAAAATGATTACAGAGTGCTTAAGTACATTACCAAAAGGTGATTTAGTATTCCTTTTTTATAAATCCAAAGTCATGTTGAATTACAGCAAGTAGATTCTGATAGGTTTGTCATCATGACAGGTTTCAGTGGATTGGTCTTGAAAACACAGTGGCAACACAAGGTAAAGTCAAAGGTAGAGGAAGAGGCAAAAACTACTTTAACGCTAAATACCCATAGACAGAGTTAGTGGTAATCCCTTCTATGGGCGTAGAAATTCCAAATCAGTGATAATAGCTCACGAAAGCAATGTGTCAGGGAGCTGCTTTGCCACCAAACAAAATTTCTGTTTGGAATACATTTTTAGTTCTTAAAACCATACTTGCGTGTGTGTTGGGTTTTGTTGTTTGGCTATCTTTGGGAGAAGGGAGATATGACCTTAAAGGAGAAATATGACCTTCATAATAGAAAAATGATCATTGGTTCATTCAAGGAACCACACAAAGATTTTCTAACAGACTGGATTAAGAGGGGTGGGAGAAATTTATCCACCCCCTAAAATTTTATCAAATTCAAATTCCAAAAATTTTTTCACTTTACAAAATATGTTTTTATATAATAGCTGACATTTTGCATTTAAGAGTTGGTTTAGAAAATATTAACATTTGACCAAAAAGGGCAGAGAAATGAATTGCTAAATATTAGCAATGGAAATGATGAATCAGAAATAACAATAGATATCTAAAATAATGATATAGGTCAATGAGAAATGAAATTAACTTACTACAAACAAATTAACACAAACCTTTGCAGTAATAATTTGTTGTGTGAAATTTATAAAACAAAAACCAGGACGGAGGACGGGAGAGATCTCTTTCCACGATCCACCACATAAATTCTCCTAATTCTCAGCTCACCGAGGCCATACAGTAATAATGTGTTGTCTGATGACTTTTATTATTACTATATTTACTCTACTTATTAAACACTTACATTATTCTAGGACTTTCTTTTAAACTACAATAGAAAAAATAACATTACTTTTCTAATTGCCTTTCATTGGCAGATACTGAAAGAGGAGATAGAGGTTAAGTCACAATCGCGTTCAGACAGGTTTGACCCTCTCTAGTCCTCGTAGAAAGCCGGCCAAGGTATCCGCTTCCCCGGCGTTCCCCACTAGCACCACGGAAAAGAAACTGCATCAAGCTCCGCCCCACCATCTGCAGAGTGAGCCAATCAGGGCACAGCCCGGGCTGATCGCGTGCCGGGTGTCATGGCGGCCTGCAGGCATTGCTGCTCGTGCCTCCGGCTCCGGCCGCTGGGTGATGCTCCCCTCCGTCTGCCAGGGCGGGATCCGGCACTCACCAAATTGCAGGTGCGAGCACTATGGGGCAGTGCGGGGTCCCGAGCCGTGGCCGTGGACTTAGGCAGCAGGTAAGGAACGGCATGCGTTCTCTGTCCTTTCACAAGGTGTCCTGTTTGGCCAGCCCAAGTACGTTAATCTCCTAGGGTAGGAATCAGGCAATGCAGTTCTCTTTACTCCAAACTTAATTCCTAATTTTCGTTTCCGGGTTTGGAGTTTGTCTCCTGGCACCACCCCCCATCCCGCACTGTCTCAGCCTCATGTCCTTAGTTTCTTGGTCCTCCCTCTTGCCCTGTTCCGAGCTTCCTTTCTCTAGCTGCGCCTGCCCACCTGACTTACATTCTCTTTACTTTCGGGGACTCCTGTACTCTGAAATGGGAAACGTTCCACCTCGGGATAATGAGTTGACAATGGATGCTTATGTCACTCGGTCCAACTTATTGCCTAAAAGCGTGGCCAGTATGACCCTGGGTAGGTAGGGAAGGGAAACGTCAGTTTATTGAACGCCAGTTATATGATACACTGTTTTTAAACCTGCAGTAAAGGTACTATTATCCCCGTTTTATAGTAAGACAACAGAGGCTCAAAAAAGGTTAAGTAACTTTCTCAGAGTCGTCAGAGCTAGTACTATGAGACTAGCTGGCTTTTGAACTTGGTTTCTCTGTTACAAGGCCCATAATTTTTCCAGGGGTCCGTTTGCCAGAATTCATGTCTAAAGTCACTATTTAAAAACTCGTACTTGAATCGTTTTTAGAAAAAATGAAATTAATGCTTACTTTATATATCTACATTTTTTACATGTACTTTAAAAAATTTTGACCCCGATTCATACAGAAAGCTGGAAAATCTGGCTTTGGATCCAGGCCTTCTTCCCTAACTTAGTGAGTGAATGATCTTGAAAAAGTTACTTCACCACTTTTTTTCACAAAATGAAGAGACTGAACTAGATCAAGAGTCTGCAAACTTTTTCTATAAAGGGGCTAAATAGTACATATTTTAGGCTTTGTGAACTGCACAGTGTCTGTCACATATTCGTGTGTGTTTACAAACCCTTTAAAAATGTAAAAAACATTCTTAGCTGAAAGGCTGTACATAAACAGGCTATAGTTTGTTGACCCCTAGACTAGATGATCTCTAAGGCTCTTTCCACCTATGGCATTCTTTGATTCTGATTTTTTGAGGGAGAGGATATCTCTTTCATTCTTCAGGGACTGAACATTCTTCTCTGAAGAAATGCCCCAGAACATTTCATTCAGCAGACACCTACTATGTGCTAGAAACTCAAAGTAACAAGATCAGCCCCTGCCCTGAGATTTTCCAAAAATAAACTACTAAGACCTCTTTTGTAACTAGTTCTTTTAAAACCTGTATTATGTGTTGTAACAACTAGATTCATAAACATTGTACCTGCTGAGTAAATCAATTCTTTTATCTTTGTCATAAGTTTATAATTTGCAACATTTGGGTAACTACTGTGTACCATGCCCTTTATATTTGTCATCATATGTGTTCTTCACAATGCCCTACGAGGTGTATACTCTTCTGGTAAGTGTTTTTCAGATAGTGTATCTAATACTTGCAGTAACCTTTGAGGCAACTATTTAATTTTCATTTCAACAAATTTTTATTGAATATCTGCTTTGTACAGGGCACTGGAGATGCAGTCTGATGAGGGAGTAAGATAAACACAGGTTCACTGCTGGGAAAATCACTGTGGGAGGGGTATGGACAAGGTGTTAAGGGAGCACAGAGTCATACTTATCCCACCCTAAAGCTTGCCGTTTAAGGTGAATCTTGAAGGGCAAGGAGGAATTAGCAAGGAGAAAGTAGCAGAGAAAGTGGCAAGTACAATTACAGAGAAGTGAGAGAGTGCATTTGAGTGGCTATAAATAACTCACTGTGGATGGAGCAAAAGGTGAAATGTGAGTTTACCAACATATGCGAGGCCAAATCTTAAGGGTGGGTTTTTGTTTTTGTTTTTTGAGTTTTATATTACTGAATTTTTCTTGGTGGAAGTTGGAGGAAGGTGGTTACATTCCATATCATTCTGCAGATATTCTAAAAATGTTCTTGAAGCATCTCTCTCCCTGGAGTTCTGCCTTCTGTGGCAGGTGGCTCCTCTCTTCCCTTTCTCTCTCAGTTACCTCCTCCCAGTCTTCTCCCTCCCAGTAGGATCTCCCTGCTCATCTTATCCTTTTTATTATTTATTTTTTCAAAAATATTTTTTAATTAGGCATTCATTTACATGGTTTAACATTTTAAAAGCCCAAAAATCTCCTCGTACAGTTTTATAGCCACCCATTTCCAATCCCTAGAAGCTACTGATGTGTTATCAATCTTGTACATATTTGGAGATATTTTATACATAAAATGTAGGAGAGTAAATTGATAAGAGGTAAAATCAACCATGAAATGCAAAAGTAATAACAGGTTTGCACCAAAAACAGAATTAAAAGTGCTGGGACAGAAAAAAAATCACATAGGTCAGTTAATACCAGCTGAGATCATGAAATTTAAAGGAAAGTAACCACCTGGTTCTTTGCATAATATAAATTGCACACACCTGGAAGAAAAACAGTCTGAATTAGGGCAATCATAAGGCAGGACCATAGGACTATCTAGTGGGTGGCCTAGGACCCCGAGACATTGGGTAGACTCAACAGAGGGAACAAAGAAGGTAGAATTTGGTGTTTGAATAAATATATAAATCTAAGCATACATGTTTGAGAACATCTGGGGTACTGCAGACATGTTGGTTTTTCTCACTAATTTGACCAGTCCCCATTGTAAGTATATTAGCTTTAGAAGCTTAACAGTGCTTCCCTGGCTCCAGTTCTCTGCCTGCTGATGTAGTAGGAGGGCTGGTTCTTAGCCAGGAAGGGGGTAGTCCACTACGTGGCTCATGCTGGTGAGTACATGTGCTCTCTTCTTTGGTACAGTGCTAGTGCCTACATCTAGATGGGGCCATGTATCTGGTTTTCACCAGTGGAACCTGAGAAAAAGTGACACATGTCATCCTCAGACTGAAGTGGTCAGAAATGCCAGTGTGGGCAATCTCAAAAATTCTGGGGCAAGATCCCTATTAGTGGAAGCAACTATAGCTTTCACAGCTCTTCTCTCTGTCTTGGGCCCACTTCAATCTATTTAGAGATACTCCCCTCCCCTTCACAGGTATCACTCAGGTATTCATAATTCACATTAGTAAATGAAATGCCATTCCTGGTAGGTCTTGAGAAGTACTGGTAGCATATTCTTTTTTAGGATTAAACAAAATTTCAAGACCCCAGATTTACATTTAACCACATAAAACTTTAATTTAATACAGCCATGAGCTGCATAATGATGTTTTGGTCAACAACGGACTGCATATACGACAGTGGTCCCATGAAATTAGTACCACATAGCCTAGGTGTAGTAGGCTATACCATCTAGGTTTGTGTACTTATATTCTATGATGGTCACAAAATGACAAAATCACCTAATGATGCATTTCTCAGAACGTGTCCCTTCCTTAAGCAGAGCATGACTGTACTGATTTCAGCTGTAGGTGGGTGGTGATCTGTCTGATACTAATTTCTGTCTCTACAGATTTGCCTATTCTGGGCATTTCATATGAATGGGATCATATAATATGTGGTCTTTTGTGACTGCCTTCTTTCATTTAGCATAATGTTTCCAAGGCTTATCCATGTTTTAACAAGTACCAGTACTTCATTTTTTTTTATGGCTGAACTGTATTCCATTGTATGGGTTATACCACATTTTGTTTATTCATTCATCAGTTGACAGACACTTGGGTTACTTCCATTTGGGAGCTATTATGAATAACGCTGCTATGAACGTTCATGTGCAAATTTTTGCTTGGATTTATGTTTTCATTTGTACTGGTGACCTAAGTCCTTTTGTATTGAATTTTTATTTTTAAACAGAAAATTAGAAATATCCTCTGGAAAACTGGCCAGATTTGCAGATGGCTCTGCTGTAGTACAGGTAAAAAGTCCAGGTTTTTAAATTTTCTTCTTAAAAATGGTTATGGAGACCAGTACAAAATATCTTTATAACATAATGTAACCTCTTAGAATTGTGGTATGAGAAATTAATTCAGACCATTTCTAGTGTCAGAACCATTCCAGACAACCAGGGAGTCAGAGGGCTGGATATATTAAGATCTCTTCCAAACTTGGGGTTCTGTTTTATTCTGTTAATAAATTGTAATGCTTTTCTAGAGAAAGTGATTTTACTGTTTTCTTTAAAAGTAATACTTAGAAAATTTTTCTTGATATATAGCCTAAATTTCCTCATAAGAAGTAGAAAATTGATTGGATGTAACTAAGCTATCAGTGGGCCTTTTCTCCTTTTAGTTCTATTGCTTGTGAAAAGCTCAGTGACTGTTCTAATATAGATCATGATCACGCAAAAGAGATCAAGATTGGACTACTTGTGAAAAATTATTTTCATTGTCATTGTGTCATGGAATAACAGTTCTCTTTCCTTGGGTTTAACTGGAATGACAATTCATTCAGTCACTACTTGTATGTTAATATCTGATTTTAAAGGAATTTACCAGAAATCCAGCCATTTGTGACAACATGGATGGACATTGAGGGCATGATGCAAAGTGAAATCAGTCAGAGGGAGAAGGTCAAATACCGTATGATTTCCTTCATTAAGTAGTAGATAATAACAACAATAAACAAACACATAGGGACAGAGATTGGACTGGTGGTTACCAGAGGGGAAGGGGGGAGGGAGGAGGGTGAAAGGGATAATTCGGTACATGTGTGTGGTGATGGGTTGTAATTAGTATTTTGGTGGTGAACATGATGTAATCTATGCAGAAATAGAAGTACAATGATGTACCCTTAAATTTTTACAATGTTATAAACCAATGTTACTGCAATAAACAAAAAATTTAAAAAAAAAATTAAAGGAATTTACCAGTGTTGTTTATGTTTAACTAAGTCAGGTGACACGGCAGTGATGGTCACAGCGGTCAGTAAAACAAAACCTTCACCTTCCCAGTTCTTGCCTTTGGTGGTAAGTATTTGCTGATTTATCTGAACTGTAATATAGCATAAATGTAAAATTTTTAATATTTTTGTACAGTATCTAATGGGTGCAAAATGTAAAAATACAACAAAGGCTTTTCCTTAATTGTTTAATACTGAGTCATTAAAAGAATTTAAACTGATTGCTTCATAACCAATTCTCATATTAGTAGTAAGCATACTTTAGAATGTCCAGATGCATAAGTTAACAAGAATAGTGGAAGTGCATGAGTACTCTGATGTTGAATAAAAAATGAATTCATTGCTTTCATAGGTTTTCCTTCAGTATAAGTCTGCAAGTATGTGTTTAATGAAGAGTCAGGATGTTATGGCTTCTTTCTATTATGAAAAGAGGAATGCAGTTGTATCTAAGAGTTGATACACAAAAGGCAATGTTTGACGTGACCAGAATAAGCTACTGTGGGAAGTAGTGAGGCTAGGTAGTCATCTGACTGCTAAGTGAAGACTTTTTTAATCAGTTTGCTGAAACATTTCTGTCAGCTCCCATTTCCCCAACAGATACAAAACGCTAAAAGTAAATAAAATACTCTTAGTCTGGAATATGTTGTTGGCAACCTCAGGGGAATTAGTATCAATATAGTAGTTCATGGGAAATAGTTTTATTATTACAAAAAGCAGTCAAATGAACTTCATTTTTTTCATTGCTACTTCAGGTGGACTATAGACAGAAGGCTGCTGCAGCAGGTAGAATTCCCACAAACTATCTTAGAAGAGAGATTGGTTCTTCTGATAAAGAAATTCTTACAAGTCGAGTAATAGGTAAGATATTAAGATAGAGGCATTAACCCTCTCTGATATGCTTCTGTTAGCATCTCTTCTCTTCCATCTGTGTTCTAAAATACCTCTTAAATTTTCCTTCATTACATGAACATCACCTGAATTTACTCTCAATATCCCTTCATTTAACTGTGGGCTCCATGAGAGAAAAAACTTTTTGTTTGTTCACTACTGAATCCCTTGTACCTGGTATACTGCCTGGCACAAAATAGGCATTCAGTAAATATTTGTTGACTAAATGAATGAATCTCTATTGAGCATATAAATTCTGTGGCCCATGGCTCTACTCTGTTGAACCTTTCCCTGGTATTTTTCATTTTCATGTTCAGCATAGTAATTCCTGAAAGAATTATATTCATCAACCACTGAAATATGTCTATCTTTCAAATCTCTGACATCCCTAAATATTGTAGGATTGTATGTAGTTTACAGCTCTTCTACCCATAAATTGCTAGTGGTTAGTTATATGCCTTTCTCAAACACAGAATGCCAAGGAAGGATTTTCTTTTGGTTTGCTCTTAATCTTTCCTACTCTTTCCTCTACTTATATATGTAAGTGATGCCTGTGGAACCAGAATGAAAAGTTGCTCCCCAATTTTAGAATTGTGTTCCTGCCCTAGTAATTTTTTGTTGTTAGGTCATGGTGTGTATTAATTGAAGCACTGACATTTATTTGTGTCCCTCTCAGTAAATCAGTCCAAGGGAAATTTTTTTTTTGACATATTGAATAGCTAGCTATATTATTTTTTTAGCCTGGTGTTTAATGGGGAAAAGTTTTGAACTGTAAAGCAACTTCTATCAGTACTATTTAATGTTTTTTCTTTTTTTTCTTGTGGCAGATCGTTCAATTAGACCGCTCTTTCCAGCTGGCTACTTTTATGACACACAAGTAGGTTCTGCTTTAGGTTTATTTGTTTCCAGTTCAATCAAAAATAACGTAGTGAATCTCTATAATACTTCCTAGGCTAAACACTATAAAGAATACAAAATAAGAATTTTTGGTGATACTGCTGCATTTTACATTTTGTTTTTAAAAAGATAGCTAACATTTACTCAGTGTCAATTTGTGCTGATACCTGAATTATGAGCAGGAGTTAGCCAGCCAAGGAGTATGGGGAAAGTATTCCAGACAGATGGAATGGGAAGCATGAAAGCCCTGAGGCAGGAAAGGAACTGGTGAGTCTGAAAGAAGGAAAGTCATTGTGATTGAGGTGGGTGGGGATAGGGCCATATAAATCACATGAGTAACAGTGGCTAGGACAATCAACACAACTAATCTTTATTACCCTTCTTTATTAATGGATCCTCTAAATCTCTTCTTTATTACATTTTAATACTTTCTGAAATTATTTTCTTGCAGAATAATGACCCATATAGTTAAGTAACCATTTTATTTGATAAAAATAAATATGCTTTGCAAATAGGTCTTTGCAAGATGTCACAGCCTCAAGAAGTTATTTTCTATTGTATATGACATAGGCATATTATTGCAGTGTAAAGTAATTCATTGGTATGTTTTGTCTATACTTACAAACAGAAGACAAAAATATCTTTATGTAATAGAAATAGCCAACATTTACTGTATACTTTCAACATGCCCAGTATCGTGGTAAATGATTTACACACAATATTTCCTGTGCGTAATATCTCCAATAATTCTCACAGGAAACTTTTAGGAAGATGCTGCTATTGTTTTTCCCTTTTAAAGATAAGGAAACTTTTGAGGCTGAATTTAAGTAATTTGCCCAAAGTCAAGCATGTAGTTAGATGATAGCCAGAATTAAGGGGTTTGACTACAACTCCCATGCTTTTAACCATATAATGCTTCTATATTTTAGGCCAAGATGTTAAGCTAAAGAATAATCCTCCGAAATCAAGTAGATTTTTTTTAAGTGCTTTGAATTTTTTACCTTGTACCAGGTCCTTTGTAATCTGTTAGCAGTAGATGGTGTTAATGAACCTGATGTCCTAGCAATTAATGGTGGTAAGTATAAAAATAAAGATTAAAATGATCACTATTGATTTTTTTAAAGCAATGAAATATTTTATTTCAGCCCTAATTTTTTTCTTTTTTTAAGCTTCCGTAGCCCTCTCATTATCAGATATTCCTTGGAGTGGACCTGTTGGTAAGTTAGGGTTTGAAAGTAAGAAACATCATTTATATTTTTTCAGAAAATGCTAGTGAGCATGCTAAAGCAAGGTCATAGATTTGACTCCGATTTATTATCTCTTAGGGAGCTGAATTAGATGACAGACATTCCAAGACTCCTTTCAGCTCTTTGAGACATTTTCATCCTTGCCTTGGGTTTCATTTCTGATAGCAATATATTATGGTGTTATATGTTAGAGATTTTATGTCCCTAGATACTTTGACATCTTAGTTGCCTCTTTTATTTGAGGAGTTTTTTTTTTGTTTTTTTTTTTTTTGTAAGGAAGATCAGCCCTGAGCTAACAACCATGCCAATCCTCCTCCTTTTGCTGAGGAAGACTGGCCCTGGGCTAACATCTGTGCCCATCTTCCTCCACTTTATGTGGGACGCCACCACAGCATGGCCTGACAAGCGGTGTCTTGGTGCACGCCCAGGATCTGAACCCGGGCCGCCAGCAGCAGAGCGTGTGCACTTAACGGCTACGCCATGGGGCTGGCCCCAGGAGTTTTTTATTTTTTGACTGGAAGATTGTCAGAGTACATACTCTCAGAATAAAACAAACATATGTTTATAACTTACAGCTCTTATGAGTTGTAGTCATGCAAGGTAAAAATGATTCATCAAGTAAATACTTATTGAGTGTCATAAATGCCAGATACTGAGCTAAACACTGAAGGAACACAGGCAGACTAGGCACTAGCAATACAAAGATGAATGAGGCAGTTCTTGCTTTCAGCATAAGTAAGGGAAACAGACAAATAATTATTTATAAACAGTAGTATAAAGGTATAGCCAATGTGCTAAGAAAATGATAGAGAAGGGCCAGTTCAGTCTTGTGAAGTCAAATTGTCAAAGAGGGCTTCCCGGAGTCGTCAACATTTAAGCTGAACCTCAGTAGAATCAGATAATAAGCATTTGTTTTGGAGAAAGGACAGTCTAGATCAAGAGAAGAGCATGAGCATAATCACTGAGGTGTGAAAGAAATGGTGAAATCTGAGCAACTCAGAGTGGTCCAGTGAGGCCAGAAGGTAGGGTAGGGTAGGGTAGGATGCTCTGTGGGTCTTAAATACCATGGTAAAAATATGGATTTTATTGTGGTCATAATTGAAGATAGGGGTTGAAGCCATCACTGGAACAGTCTTGAAAACTGAGTTTTTATTAAATAATTCCCAATATTTTATTATATTTTAGGGGCAGTACGAATAGGAATGATTGATGGAGAATGTGTTGTTAACCCAACACGAAAAGAAATGTCTTCCAGTACTTTAAATTTAGTGGTTGCTGGAGCACCTAAAAGTCAGATTGGTAAGTTGTTTAAGTACTATATTTGTTCTGGATTTTACTTAACAAGTTCTGACTTCTTAAAAATGCATGTAGAGCCAGCCTGATGGCCTGATGGTTAAAGTTCAGCACTCACTGCTTCGGCAGCCTAGGTTCGATTCCCGGTCAGGGAACCACACCACCCGTCTGTCAATTGCCATGCTGTGGCAGTGGCTCAAATAGAAGAACTAGAACAACTTACAACTAGGATACTAGGATATACAAGCATGTACTGGGGCTTTGGGGAAAAAAAGAAAAGAGGAAGATTGGCCACAGATGTTCGCTCAGGGCAAATCTTTTCCTGCAAAAAAAAGGTACAGTATAACAGATGGATGAAAAAATGAATTTTAAAAAAATGCATTTAAACTCTTTTTGGTATGTGTGTTTTGTCAATTAGCCATAAAGATTTTTGTTTTGTTTTATTGCTGCCCTATTTTGGTAGTGCTCTTGCTTTATATCAAACAATACCTAAAATTATAGAATGTTGTGCAACTTTAATTGAAATATACAAAACTCTTTACCAAGATAATTGTTTTTACAAGCAATTATTTTTAGACTGGTAAGCTAGTCTAAAACTTGGAAGTTCTAAATCTGGTAATAAATTTTTTTGAGTTTAAATATGTTAGTTTAGCTAATTCAGTCATTCTCAGCCTGTTTGATGTCTTCTGAGAAAGAAGTAGCCTATTTTTAGTAGGTAGAAACTAGTAATAAAGTAGAAGGAATGTGCTGACCATAGGTCATCTTCACTCCATGTAAGAAAAATGTCATAGTCGCATGATTGAAAATCAGAGCCTGGTTCTGTTGAAGAAGAATGGGCTTTAACAGTCAGAATGACCTGGGTTTGAAACCCAGCATCTGCCACATACTTAAGCCATGTGACCTTGGACAAATTAATTAAGGTCTCATCACCAGTTTATTCAACTGTGTGACATTTGATGTCTGGGACTTTTTGACATGGGATCTTCTGATATGGGAACATTTTGTTGAAATGTAAACTACTAAACTTTTAGTACTTTTTTGTACAATTAATGTGTGAAACACCTCATTTCTAGCTTTTTCTTTTGGAATGTTGGTCAGTAAGTTAGAATTAGGTACTATATGATAGACAAAACACATATAACGGGAATTGCATGTGTCTACGTACTACTAGAGATATGTTGTTAAGGATTGCGTTGTTAAACTAAATAACAAGGCTTAGACAAGATGGGAATTTATTTTTCTCTCAGGTAAAAGAAATTCAGAAGTAGTGAGTCCAAGACAGGTATAGCGGCAACATGTTTTAAGAAATCTAGATTCCTTGTAGCTTTCTGCTCTGCTACCCTCAAGATGTGGCCCTTACGTTCATGCTTATGAACAGGCTCCCAGAACTCTGGCCAACTTACCTGACTTACAGGCAGGAGGATGAAAAAGGAGGGGAATAGCAAAAAGGTGTGTGCCAGCTGAGTGAGTCACCCTCCTAAGGAGCTTTCCCAGAAGTTACCACACAGCAGTTTACACTTAACATCTCATTGGGCAGAACTGTGACACCTGACCACATCCTTGACTACAAGGGAGGCAAGGAAATGGTTTTTGGATTCTACTTCTAGAAGGTGGGATTCATACTGTGGGGAACTATCACAGTGTAGAGAGAGTATTCCAAAGATTTGAGGAAGCCATGAATAACATATGACCCTTGCATCATATTTGAGCATCTCAGTAAGGGCCTTGAGCAAAGTATTGGTTTACTGTTTAAAGTTCACTTGGTCAACGTCTGAAATTTTTTTTTGCTTAAAGTTACAGTGTTCATTTACTTTCGATTAGTAAACTGATTTGGCTACTTTACAGGGTTGTTGTGAAGATGAGGGTCAAGGTTTGTAAAGTGCCCAGCATAATACCTAGTACTTAGTAGGTATACAGTTAATACCTATTATCATTAAGACACAGAAATAAACTTGCTCCTAGACAGTCATATAGCCTCTATCTGCCTTGGAGTTTGAACTCCTCTAATTTTAAGTAGATGTTGGAGGAATTACTAGGATCTTTACTGCATCTACGGCATGCCATAGAAACCCAATGGGCAGCCTTCCAGCTGGCTATTCTCACCTTTTGCTCTCCAGATGGAAGAATGAGACTCTAGAGACTGCATAAACCATCAGCGGGTAGTCTTGAGTAATTGGAAGGAGGCTGAGAGTGATTCAGAACTAACCTGTAAGGAGACTGGTTTCAGAAATTACCAGCCTCCATTTTATGGCTTTTGCATCACTGTTTCCTTGAAGATATTTAGCTAGCTCTCTGTGCTTTCGTAAAGGTGCACCAAATATATGTTGAACCCCATGTTCATGTGTTAAAATTAGTATTGGGCCCAAATCAAATACCAGCATCATGGAACTTCTGGTATACAAAAATACAAAAGAGTAATTGCTACCATTTCATTATAAAAATATTTAGTAATCTGAATCTTTAAAGCATGACCTTATAGGGCAAGAATAATTTCTTTGTGGTGTCAACTGCTAGATTACTGCAGAAGCCATTATTCTGCACAGTGCCATTTAGATGCTTGTTTTCAACTGGATTTTTAATATCACTAATCTTTCTATGTATACTAGGATATAATTCAGGAAAAAGTATACCAGTAACAATTTTTAATAAGAAATTTGGGGGCCAGCCCCATGGCGTAGTGGTTGGGTTTGGCATGTTCCACTTAGGTGGCCTAGGTTTGCAGGTTCAGATCCCAGGCATGGACCTACACCACTCGCCAGCCATGCTGTGGCGGTGACCCACATGTAAAGTGGAGGAAGACTGGCACAGATGTTAGCTCAGGGCTAATCCTCCTCAGCAAAAAAAAAAAAGAAGAAATTTGTGTCTAGAATTCATAGTTTCAGCTAATCCTAAAAGTCCTTTATCTTCAACTATTGAAAATGTTAACAATTTTGAGCAATCATTTTGACAAGCTTTTTTGTTTAAATTTTTAGCCTCTATGGCAGTGCTGTCCAGTAGAACTCTCTGCAATGAAGGAGGTATTTTATATCTGAATATGTGGCTACTGAGTACTTGAAATGTGGCTGGAGTGACTGAGGAACTGAATTTTTAATTTTATATAATCTTAATTTATTTAAATGTAAATAGCCACATGGGGCTAGTAGTTATCATATTGGACAGCACAGGTCTGTAGACTCAGAACTGTAAGGAATTTTCTTTTAAAGGATTTTTTAAAACAAATTGCTTTGAAGTTTAATTGGTAAAAAGTTATTTGTTATTATTTTAGGAATATTCATTTTCTTTACCATATTCTTTTCATATTCTCTTTTTTAAATCAATTTATTGAGGTATAATTTACGTATGTTAAATACATTTTTTTAAATCTCCAATTTAATTCTGCGAAAGTGAGATAGGAGGTCAGGAGAATACAGATGAGAAAAAGAATATAACCATCCCAGTATCATGGTGTCAGAGGAGGTTTCTTCATACCTCAAGTAAAGTATTGAAACGTTACTTCTCTTTACCCTCCCCCATTTATAATATAATTGTTTTAATATTCCTCTAGGAATTTAGAATTTAGAACCACAACAGCTGGTGTTAAAATTTTTGCTTTTGCTTCAACCATCAAACATAATGTAGAAAACTCGAGACGGAAAGCATATCGTATTTACTCATATTTTTGCTTATTATGTTCTTAACATAGTTTCTTCCTTTATTGTTTCCTTTCTGTTTAGAGAACTTCCTTTAGCCTTTCTTTTAGGGTAGATCTGCTGGTGACAAACTTTCTTAGTTCTCCATCTAAGAATCTTGAATTCCTCTTCATTCCTAAATATTTTCACTGGGTATAGGATTTTGGGTTAACAGTCTTCTTTCAGCACCTGAAAAATAATTATGCCACTTCCTTCTGGCCTCCATGGTTTCTGATGATAAATCTGCTGTTATTTGAATTGCTTTTCCCATATGCATAAGGTGTTGTTTTTCTCTGGCTGGTTTCAAGACTTCTTTGTCTTTGGTTTTCAGAAGTCTGATTATGACATGTCTTTTTTTGGGTTGTCCTATGTAGGGTTTACTCAGCTTCTTGAATCTGTAGGTTTATGTCTCTGCCAAATTTGAGGAGTTTTCAGCGATTTTTTTTCCCAGTACTTTTCAGCCCTGTCATCTTGCTCCTCTTTTTCCAGGATTCTAATGACATAAATGTCAGATCTTTGGTATAGGTTCACAGGTCTGTTTCAACTGATGGAATTCCAACATATAAAGAACATAAGGAGATCTTTCTTCATTCTAGATTATACCTAGAAGCCTTAGAAGTGACTTTTTGGATAATAATAAATCTTAACCAACATGATATGGTTAAACATATTACATATGATGGTAACTATGCATTACTATGATCTTTTACTTTGTGCAAGTTGAGAAATGACACACAAATAGGCAGGAGTCATTTAGCCTTGCAGAAACCAAAAGCCAAAGCTGAATAGCATATTTTAGCTAGATACCATGCTAGAAGCCCTACTTTGGAGCTTTCCTGCTCCAAAAAACGGGAGTTTTACTATTAAAAAACCAATAAAAGCAACCTTTTTTATGGTAGTAGGTAGGGCCCTGTGGTTGGCTTACTTGAAACAGTATCACTGCAAAGATTTCCCCACCTGTCCAAGCATTAGACATCATGACAATGACAGAATTAAGTGGGAGGTCACATCAAATAATTATTAAACAGGAAACATTTATTGAACACCTACTGTGCTGATACTTTTAAATTTCATTTTAAATACAGATTAAAAATAAATGCAACTGTATACTTTAAAAGGTGGAATTTTATGGTATTTAAATTATATCTAATAAAGCTGTTATTAAAAAGTAAGTATGCATAGTTTATTTTCTTTTCTGTTTCATTTTTTATGAGAAATCCTTCATTAAATTTAAGAAGAATATAAACCTAACTTCAAATATCAAAGTTTCTTTATTCATTTATTGCTGTTTACATTTTGGAAGTATGTTGATTCTGAGGAAAGAAATCAAAAAGGTAGATATACCATTAATAAACAAAATTGATCTGTAGTATTTATGTCATGTCATGGTATCTGAAAATGTTATATTGGTAAAAGGTTCAATGGCAATCTTTTCTTTTTTTTCTTTAGTCATGTTGGAAGCCTCTGCAGAGAACATTTTACAGCAGGACTTTTGCCACGCTATCAAAGTGGGAGTAAAATATACACAACAAATAATTCAGGGCATCCAGCAATTGGTAAAAGAAATTGGTGTTACCAAGAGGACACCCCAGAAGTTATTTATCCCTTCACCAGAGATTGTGAAACACACTCATAAGTAAGAACACCTGTAAAAAAGAAAATATGAAATTGTCACAAGATTTAATTTCCTCTCAAAAAACCTTCCTATGGAAGCACTGTCCATGCATTACTTCTTAAATAGCACCCTTCTATATTTTAAGAGTCATTGCCATAAATACCAATTTAATGCTTTAAAAAGGATAAACCCACATCCCTCTTCAAGGGCCTAAGTTTGAATCTCTAATGAAAGGGGGAATGAGTTTGTTGGTCAAGGTTCAGATAATCTGCATTTCTCTCTCTGTCAAGGAAAAGGAGAATAAAGTGTAAAATATCTGATTATCTAAGGAAAATGTTGAGGTTCTCCAAGGAAAATCAAGTATACCACATCAAGTATAAGCATATGCCTTGTGCTTAGAACAGTGCCTGCACATAGGCAGGCAGTCAGTAAATATGAATGAGTGACCAGAAGATTATTTCATTTTATTTGAAATAAATTGAAAAAGTTAATATTTCCCTTTGTATCAGTCTTACAGCCATCAGTCAGAGATTAAAGAGTTTTATATAAACTGTCCCCAATAAAAAGAGATGCCTGCAATAGCAGCCAAAATGGATAGAACAGAAAACAGTAAGAGGTTAAAGTACAGTGTGTGCGGAGAGAGAGCGAGAATAAGAAAAATCTAAGGTGAAATTAGTTAAACAGTTAAGAAGGGAGGGCACAGTACCATGTATGAGTGATTCCCCTGAGAGGTGGGGAGAAAGAAAGTTGTGTTCTATATCATAAATAGTAAACAGATTAGCAATGTTAAAGAGCATTTTTTAATTCTTTATAAAATGTTTATTATTAAATATTTCAGTTTTGTTTGTAATAGACACTGCCTTGTGTTTCCAAATATTATGCTGACATTTATTTTGTGCTTAAAATAGACTCGCTATGGAAAGACTCTATGCAGTTTTTACAGATTATGAACATGATAAAGTAGGTATACCTGAATTTTGTCTTACATAATTGTTATGGGAATTCTTTTTTGTCATAACTGATGTAATTTTGTTTATGTATGTTAGTCCTATTTTCATGAAAAATCTCTAAACAGAAGGCTAAATAAAAGCCTGTTTGCTTCTCCATTCTCCTTTTATTGATTAATACAAGTTTTAGGGAAGTGTGTAAATATATTTGAGTGAATTAAACAGGTAATATTTCTTGTAAATCAATTACCAGTTCTAATCTTTTAAAGAATACGACCTTTAGAGAAATCTGAGTACTATCACAATGTGTTAATTGTATAATAATTTAAAAATAGAAATGTTAATTGTTGCCGTGTATGTTTAATAACTGAACCTCAACTTTCTTTTAGATTTCTAGAGATGAAACTGTTAACAAGATAAGATTAGATACAGAGGAACAACTAAAAGGTCATTTTTTTTTTAATTTAAAAAAATATTTAAAGGAAATAAGAGATGTTTTAAATTTCAGTTGTGATACCTCAAAGAAATCAGTTATTCTCATTGCTCCTTAGTTCTATCTTCAGTAAACTTGGAATAATGATATATCCCAAGGTTAGTGTTAAATTAACTTCAATGAATGTGGTCAGCACTGCCCCTGACAGAGTGGGCACCAGTAAATGTTGAATGTGAAATATTCCTAGTCTTTTCTGGATCAGACTCTTATACTCTAACATGGGTATCCTTGTATCCTGTCATTTGAAAACCTGAAATACATTCTTTAAAATTCTTAAGTTCTTAATCTGTGAAATTGCAATACTAGTAATATCTGGTTCATGGGGAGTAAATGAGTAAATCATTTACATCTGTGCCTGGCACATAGCAAGTGTTCAATATACGTTAACTGATGCTATTTTTAATACCATGTGGAACTGTAAAATTTAGATTTTAGAGAATTTAGCTCTCTAGAAATTATTAAGCAAAGGATTTTACTGTATAATATCAATCACACACAAACAATGTCTACCAAGCATAACATATAGTTGTTAATTTTTCTGCTAATTGACAAATATCCTCTCACCTGAGTATCTTATTTTAAGATTAAAAACTCTGCTGTTAGCATTGCTATTAAGGCCATTACCTGTAATTGCCATTGAAAAAGTTTAGTCTCTTCTCACTATATTTTATCCTGTTAAGAATGACAAGTTGTATAATACATGTTGGCTTATTTAAAAAGAAAAGTGATTTTGTGTTTATATTATACATAGTAGAATATCTTCATGGCTCTCTGGATTCATAGATTAATATTTTAAATGTTTTGTTACTAATTATTTTCCTCTCCAAGTGAACCCAGTTAAAGCATAAAAGTTCATATTAAAGTGTAATATTTAAAATTATTCTTGTCTGATCAAGATACAATACTTAATATATCTCTCTTTCTGTGCCATTTCTTATGTTCTGATTACTTTAAAGTTATATTTAATAAACCAAATGCTTGAGAGAACAGTGCTGAAAACTTGGGATAAATCAATTGATAAGGTAAAGTAGCTTAACATTTAAAAGCATAAGCCTAGGCAGACAGATGTGTATTCAGGTCACAGCTGTGTCAGTTACTACCTGTGTGATCTCAGGAAATTTACTGCACCTCTTTAGGCCTATTGTTTCTTCTGTAGAATGGGGATAATAATAGACATTATTATATCTAATAATAAAATTTACCTCATAAGTTCTTATAAAGATTAAAGGCATTAAAACAAACTGTACAGCACAGTATAGTAAAGTACTGTACAGTAAAGTACCTGAGTCATGAAAGAACTTGATAAATGTTAACTAAAAAAAGTGAGTAGGGACTTTTAGTATATAAAGAAAATTATTCCTCTTATTTGCAGACTAAAAGTTCCTAAGGCAAAACAGTAAAGGTGACTACTCTTAAAAGTGTCAGTTAGACCTTTTCATACTATGGTTGGCTGGATTTGTCAGGTAACATACAATAGAGAGCTGATTTCAAAGCACTGTTTATTCTGGGAGAAAGCAAACTAAGTTCCAATAACAATACATTTGAGATGTAATACTTGTTGTGTCTCTCCTACTTGAGAACATTTGATTTATCTACTTTGTTTGTCTGAGGACTAAATGTTCAGAGTCAACTCCCTTGGTTTACTTCCACAGTTAATTGATTTGATACTGTGAACTTAAAAGAAATCCTATCTTCCAAAAAGAGAAAAACTTTGTTTGGGTTTGTCTTTTCTTCTATAGAAAAATTTCCAGAGGTTGATCCATATGAAATAATAGAATCCTTCAATGTTGTTGCAAAGGAGGTTTTTAGAAGTATTATTTTGAATGAATACAAAAGGTAAATATATCCTTTTTTGATGGAATTGAAGCATGTGCTATCTCTGTTAGGTTGCCTTGGAAGTGGCAACTTGCTCGAAGTAAGGAACTGGATTTTTTCAAGTGAACAGTAAAGAATTATAATATTTATTTTATAAACAAGTACCTGTTGAAGAGTGTGTGGATTGTGTGGATGTGTTTGTCGCTCTGTGGGCCTCGTGTGTAGAGCAGTGCTTCACAGCCCTGACTGCACATCTGAGTTACCTGCAGAGCTTTTTAACAATACAGGTGTATGGGTCACAACCCCTGAGATTCTGATTCAGTGGGACTTAGGGTGGGACCCAGGTATCTTTATTATTTTTTAAAGTTCTTAAAGTTCCACAGCTGATTATGATATGCAGTGGGGGTTTAGAACTTCCTCATAGGGATAAAGAGATAATATGTGATTTTTTTCTGATTTCCAACACTGCTTTACATACTTATTTCCTTTATTACTATAGGTGTGATGGTCGAGATTTGACTTCACTTAGGGACATAAATTGTGAGGTAGATATGTTTAAAATTCTTCATGGATCAGCATTATTTCAAAGGGGACAAACACAGGTAAGATATATAAAAAGCTACAATTTGCTAATTGAGGATTGCCTAATTAGATCTAACAGAAGTAGATTATGTAGATGCTATAGGTTTTTATCATATAGAATGTATTATCTATTCAGATTAATATCTGATTTTTTAAAAACATTTTTAACAGCTTTTTTGAGATATGATTGCCATACACAAACTGCACATATTTAAAGTGTATGTTTCATAAGTTTTCACATGTATATAACTGGGAAACTGTCACCACAGTCATGATGATGAACATATCAAACACCCACAAAAGTTTCCTTGTGGCTCTCTATCATCCCTTCCTCCTGCTCCCCTCCCTTTCCTCAGGCAACTACCAATCTGCTTTTGTCACTGTAAATTACTTTGCATTTTCGAGAATTATCTGGTATTTATATTGTATTTTTCTTTTAACCTTAGGTGCAGAAAATTGAGTCACTGATACTCCTCAGTTTATGGCATATTGTCGTCATTGGTCTGTTCGGGGCCCTCATTTGTTTTCTCCATGTAGTCTGTACCTCAGTCCTACTCTCTTTTCTTAACATAGGCACCCATTCTCTTGTGTTTAACTTATATGTGTATCCATTGTTTTGTGTATGGTATTATGCTTATATCTCTTTCTTTTTCTTATATTAATCACTACTTTAATTTTGCCAATCTAATGGGTACAAAGTGGTATGTCATTGCTTTCATTTGTATTTCCCTGATTACAAGTGAGGCTGAGCATCTCTTTATATAATAGCCAATCAACATGGTCACTGTATAAACCATATCCTTGGGGCTGTACACCTCCAGGACACTCTTTTCATACAGATAGTCCCTGGAATTGAGCAATGTGGTGGCCCTGGTTCAGGTTTGCTCTTTTGTGAATGATCTGTTCATATATCCTTTGGCCAATTTTTTTTTTTTCTTTTTTTAATATGGTTTACTGTCTCTTTCCTGCTATTTTCAGTGATTTCTATGTGTTTTAAATATTAATCCTTTTTGGTAACCAGACTTTGTATGTATCATCTCCCTCTTCATCATATGCCTTTTAACTTTGCTTGTGGTAGCCTACTATATGACTGGAGTGAACCTGAAATATTTAGTTTCTATGTTGTTAATCCTTCCCTCTTTTACTTTTGTGGTTTGTGTTTTTAAAGTCTTGTTTAAGAAATCCTTCTTACCCCAAAGTCAAAAAATTCTGCACCTACTTTTTCTATTAACTTTCTAGTTTTAGCTGTCAAATTTAGACCATTCATCTATCTTAAGAGTTTATTCCTATACTTGGTGTGAGGTGGAAACCTCTAAAGTGAGCCAGTATTACAACACTCTTTACTAATAATTAATTTTTCCCATTGATTTGTAATGTCACCTTACCATATTCAAAGTTTACAAATATATTTTTAAACTATATTCTCTTCTGTCGTTCTGTAAATTTCCTGGGCCAGTGTCAAACTGTTTTAATTATTATGGTTTCGGGGTACATCTTAATATCTGAGAAGCAAATCTTCCCTTTGTATTCTACCCCCTCCCCCCAAAACTGTCTTAGCTGTTCTGGGACATTTGTTCATTCATTTGAATTTTAGTATTATATCAAGTTCTGAAAAAAATCTTTCTAGAGGATTTAGATTGGTACTGTGCTGATTAATCCATAATTGGATTAATTTGAGAAAGAAGTGATATTTTTACAATTTAATCACAGTCTTTATAATGACTATAGTCTGTCTCACCTTTGATTCAGGTTTTCTTTTATGCCTTTTAATAAAGTTTTTAAAGTAATTCCATTAAAGATACTCTGCATGCTTTTGTTAGCCATTCTGACAATCTCTGCCTTTTAACTGGAGGCAGTTTTAGTCCATTGATGTTCGATTTAATTATTGATGTGATTGAATTTAGGTCTGTCATTTTATTATTTGTTTTTTTTGTTTTTTATTTTGTTTTGTTTTGTTTTGTTTTTTTAAAGATTTTATTTATTTATTTTTTTCCCCCCAAAGCCCCAGTAGATAGTTGTGTGTCATAGCTGCACATCCTTCTAGTTGCTGTATGTGGGACGCGGCCTCAGCATGGCTGGAGAAGCAGCGCGTCGGTGCGAGCCCGGGATCCGAACCCGGGTCGCCAGCAGTGGAGCGCGCTCACTTAACCACCAAGCCACGGGGCCGGCCCTTATTATTTGTTTTTGTTTGGCTCTTCTGTTTTTGTTTTTCTATTTTTTCTACCTTTTTTTTGGATTAATTGAATATTTTTTTAGAATTCCATTTTAATTTATCTATTTGCTTTTTAGCTATACGTCTACAGTATTTAGCTATACCTCTACAGTAATACAGTATACATCCTTAACTTTTCACAGTCTTTTTAGAGTTAATTTTGTACTACTTCACATAAAATTAGGAAAGTTTACAACCATTTAGATCCATTTGCCCCTCCTTCCATCCTCTATGCTATAGTTGTCTTATGAGTTACATCCACATGTGGTATAAACTCCACATGGTATAAACAAGGCAGTGTTATAACTTTTATTTTAAACAATCATATATGTTTTAAAGAAGTTAAGAGGAAAAAGATAGTCTTTTATATTGACCCACATATTTACCATTTCTGATGCTTTTTTCCTTCCTGAAGATCCAAGTTTCCATCCAGTATTATTTCCCTTCAGTCTGACAAGACTTCCTTTAGTATTGTCCCATGGGTCTTCTGACAACAAATTATTTTTCATTTATCTGAAATGTCTTTATTTTCCCTTTATGTACAAAAAATCTTTTTGCTGGATATAGATTCTGGGTTGATGCTTTTTTCTTTTGGCACTTAAAAATGCTCCACTTCTTTTTTTCTCCATTTTTTCTGATACAAAGTCAAGACTCATTCAAATCATTGTTCCCTGTATGTTATTTATTGTTTTTGTCTGGGTGCTTTTGAGATTTTCTCTTTGTCTTTGATTTTCAGCAGTATGACTATGAAAAGTGTGGGTTTCTTTGTATTCATCCTGCTTAGAGTTTCCTGAGCTTGAACCTTTAAATTTATGTCTTTCATTTAACTTGAGAAATTTCAACCATAGTTTCTTCAAGTATTTTTTCTACCTCATTCTCTCTTTTCTGTCCTTTTGGGATTGCAAGTACATATGTTAATCCTTTTGATATTGTCCCACAGGTCCCTGAGACTATGTTCCTTCCTCCCCAGCACCTTGTTCTTTTGATTGGGCAATTTCTATTAATCTGTCTTTGTGTTCACTGACTCTTATCATCTCCTTTCCATTATGAGATAATATACTTTTCAGTTCTATAATTTCCATTGGTTCTTTTCTGTGTCCTTGAGTATAATCATTATTGAAAATGTTGGTCTGTTAATCCAACATCTGAATCAGCTCAGGGTCAGTCTCTGTTCATTGTCTTTTCTCTTGAGAATGGGCCCTGTTTCCTCTTTTTTTGTAGGTTGTATCTTGGACATTGTGACTGATAGATTGTAGAGTCTCTGGGTTATGTTATGTCTCGCCAAAGAGATTGATTTTTTTTTTTTTTAATTTTAAGCAGTTTTATTGGCTGAATGTTTATTGAGGCTTCCTTTATGGTCAGGTTTTATAAATATTCCTTCTTCCTGTCCTTCTCCCCCAGTACTCCTAGTACAGTGCTTTACATACATAGTCTATGTCATGTTAGACTTTTGGATTATTGAGGTTTACATATAACTCTAATATTTATAGAATGAATAAATGTTTACTATATTAAGTACCATGGCAAGCTTTGTATAGATTGTACTTATCCCATTTCTTTAAGAGCTAATTCAGTTCTTAAAATATTTTTAGTTTTCATCTTTGTTGTTAGTAAATTAAAGTCTGAGGAATTTTTCTTTCCTCTTTTTTAGGTGCTTTGTACTGTTACATTTGATTCCTTAGAATCCAGTATTAAGTCAGACCGAATTATAACAGCTATAAAGTAAGTTATTTTGGGTTATGATGTTCTAGTATACAACTAAAGCTATGTGGTATATTAGTATTCATTACTTTTTTAAACTTATATCTTTGTATTTCATTTTTCTGTTTACATAATAGTAATTCCAGGAGATTTTTTGTGCTATGTTGTCTTCTAACTCATTGGTTGGAACAAATATTGGTAGAGCATGTAATTCTTTAACATGGGTACATTACCCAGAACCATTCCTCAGGACAGATTTCCTGGGTAATCTTGAATGGATAGGTTTTTCTACTATAAACAAGAGAGCAAATAAATAAGCAAGAGTCCCAGTTGCTGAAAAGAATCTGGAGGCTGTTAATAAATGAAAAAATCTTGTCTACTCCCAGGCCACATTTGAATTTGTGTTCAGAAATATATGGCTCTCCTCCTCTGTTCCTAAAAAGTCAGCCATAAAATCATGTTGATCACTTTTAGATGCTGAAAATCTATATTATAAAGTCCCCACCAAGCATACTGCATCAGAGTCCTGGGACTCACAGCCACAGTTCTTTGTCTCCTCAGCACTTAACAGGGTTGCTTCTTTGGTTAAGGATCTTGGAAGACCACAGGACTCTGCCTCCCTCTTTCTACTGCCCAACTGATGAGGATAATTGTTTTTCTTCACTTTAGGATGGCATCACTAATTGTTTTTCATGTATGTGATAAAATTGACAATGCAGCTGCGTGTATAAGGCTAGACTGCTCATCATAATTAAAATCCTTTTTGCAGGAGCTCTTATACTTTGTATTTTAAATACCCATCTGTACCAAAACTTGGTTGCCTTACCCTTCTTTACTTTGACTCCTTTCTCTTCTTCATAAGAAAGTGCACTGGGCTTGGCTAGGGCAGTTCTTTATGTTATAGTCTTAGGTCTGTAACCTGTGTAAGTGAGGGGCACACATCACTTGGTCATGCTGGCCTTTGGTTTCCTCATTTTGTAAAATGTGGGTACTGGGCTAATGATCCCTATCCTCCTCTCAAAATCTATGATTCCTTTAGTCCTCTGAAGAAGTCTCATTTTTAGATTTCTTTTCCCAAGCCTGCAGTTTATGGTTATGCAGATTCAGCCCTAGCCCAGGACTTTCTAAATTCTCTGCACAGAGAGGTGCTTTTTGTAATCTCACCCAAAGGGGACACTATTTGTGCTAAGACCGTGCATGTGCCTGTCTTTTCCTCAGTTAAGGATAATCAGGTTTCCTCCTTCGGGAAAGGAATTATGTTACTCCTCATCCTTATCTCCCCCACTGTTCTAGATATAGTCACAACAGTTCTGTTTTCAAACCCTGAAAAGATCTTTGCCTGTTAGATCTTCTGATTGCTCTTAGCTATATCATTTCAGTTACTGATCTTCATTTCACATGTTGACTTGGAGAAAGATCGTTAACTCTGAGATTTAATGTGTTTGTAACATTTAGGATTCTCTCAGTAGTTATTAATGCTTAAAAGTATATATCTACTGTCTTAATATTCAAATCTGGATATGTAAGTGCTTGTATGTGAAGCAAAGTTGTTTTCCCAAATCTGTGTAGAATTCATTCATAAGCCCTAGGAACAATACCGTCTCTGACATTCATCCTTCTAATTCTCCTGGTTTTCAATTTCAGACCAATTCTCTTTAATACCCAATTGTTTTTTAAAATCTCCTTAAATCTTTTTTAGTTGTTTACTGAAATAAATTTGTTTATATCTGTATGATGTTTTTAATATTATGCTTTTTGTTTGTAGTGGAATAAAAGATAAAAACTTTATGCTGCACTATGAGGTAAGGTGAATTTTTTCCCCCAGTATTTTATTATGAAAAATTTCCAGGATATAGCAAAGTTGAAAGAACTTGACAGTGAATACCTGTATACCCACTACCTAGGTTCTACCATTAACATTTTACTATGCTAGTTTTATCTGTTAAGGGGGATTTAGGGGCTATTTTATCACATATAGAAGGGATTTATAGACATAAGTAGCAGCTTTCCAATCAGCAACTTCCTGTTCTGAGTCATACATAAAAGTTAAATTATAGCAGACAATATTGTTTTAGTTAAGAGTTGTGCCTGTTCACATGTGTGTCAAACAAAATTGGGGCTTTTCAAATACCTCAACTGGCAAATCACCTTCTCCCTTTAGTTCATTTAAATGTTCATATTTTTACTCAGTTGATTACTGGTAAAAGAACTGAGGTATTTAATATCAAATTCTTTATATGAAATCATTATATATAATTGAGTTTGTGATTGACTTTATTCACAACTAATCATAAGGGACCAGACACAACATATAGTACTTTAACTTTAGTATTTGAAGCATCCATGCTGGTAGGCTAGTGTAAAGTAGCAAGTTGCTTCACCTTTGAGTGACCATTGTTGGCTGCCCAGAACCCCAACTTCTCAATTTTGTTGAACCTGCTATAATTAATAGAGAATATTTCATGCATATTCTGGAGAATATCCAGAAACCTGGAGATTTTCATAGGTTTTGAGTCCCTTATAAATATCCTGTTCTGGATATACCCAAAGCCAGAGAGGAATTGTAACTAAGTAAAGCACATCCTTTGTCATGAACTGCAGAGCACATGGCAGTCTTTATAAAGGGTAGCTAGGGAAAACATAGCTGTAGCTGATTACTGGGAAAAGAGGTGGAGGAGGGGGCAGGAGAATGATATGAGTTGTTATTGCTGTTATAATACCATTTTTTAAAAGCTTTTTCTTTTAAAATAAAATACAGATACTGAAAACCATATAAAACTAAGGATGGCTTAATGAGTTTTTATAAGGCAGACAGCTTTGACCACCAAAGTCAGAGAATAGAAGGTTGCTAGTCACCCCAGAAGGCCCTCTATGTTTTTCTTCCCAGTCTCAACACCCTTCTTCCCCTAAAAGTTAACTACTCGCCTAAGTTTTATAGTAAGCACTTCCTTGCATTTCGAGTGTACATCCCTAGATACTATGGTTTAGTCTTGTCCATTTTTTAAAATTTGATATTTATTTAAGTCTCTTTTAATCTATAGGTTTCTCCTCCATCATATTCTTCTCTTTACAATCCATCTGTTGAAGCCCCAGAACCATTTGACCTGTAGAGTTCCCCCACAGTCTGGGTGCTACTGATTGCACACTCATGGTGCAGTTCAACATGTTCCTCTGTCCTTCTATCTTCTGCAAATTGGCCACTAGATCCAGAGCCCTGATCAGATTCAGTTCCATCACTCTTTTTAAAAGTTATTTTGTTAAACTTGAATTCCCGATTTTTAAAGGAAATTTCCCAATTTTTAAAATGAGTGCAACTAATTCATATGCCTTCAAGACAACATATTGGTCACATAAAACATTTTGCAAGCTCTGGCTAAAGTAAAACCCTTACTGGAAAAGATCTCTGTTGCTTCAGTGTGCATTTCTTTTTAAATATGTGTATATTTTTTCTTATTATAAAAGTATAGTATTTTGTTATTGTTAATAATTTAAACATTATAGAAATTTATGGTGTAAATCCCCATAACCATCCACTTCCCACCCTGATTCACATACATACTAGAAATAGCTACTTTTAGCAATCTGGTTTATATTTTAGATGTCCAGGCATTTTCTGTATATATATATATACGAATGTACTTTTTTTTTTAACAAAAATGGGATTCTACAGCTTTATAACTGTTTTATTATTTTGGTAATATATTTTGGATATCTTTCCATGTCCACTTGTCCACGTGTGTGGTTTTTGTTTTTGTTTTTTCAAGTTTCCTCCTTATGCAACAAATGAAATTGGCAAAGTCACTGGTGTAAACAGAAGGGAACTTGGGCATGGTGAGTACAAATCTGTAAACTTATATGGTATTCTTACAGAGACTTAGTACATTTTTTGCTTATTGTTTTCTATTCTAATTTAGGTGCTCTTGCTGAAAAAGCTTTGTATCCTGTTATTCCCAAAGATTTTCCTTTCACCATAAGAGTCACATCTGAAGTCCTAGAGTCAAATGGTATGGTATTGAAATATGTTTTCCCTAGTCAAAAAGACCAACTCCCTGTTATATTCTTAACTTTTCATAAGTAATGTTACATTGTTTATTACTCCAGTGCCCAAGCCAGTTGGAAGAGAAAAATGTGTGTAATCATATACAATCATATACTTGTCTGAATCTCTGTTCCTAGCTAATTAATTGTTTTGAAAGCAATATAAAACAAATTGCTCTTTATGTATCTGTTATAATAGATCCAGTTTGGGTTATTTCTTTATTTTTACAAACCAACCATAAAGCAAGGCCAGCTTGGAGAGAGGAGGGGCCAAAATAGAGTAATCCATTAGGCAGGGGGCATCTGTCATGTGTCACAGATATAAGTAGACACCACAGAGAGAGGCTGGGCTAAAAGGTCAAATTTAAATAAAAAATCAGTCCATGGGTCAAGGCAAGGTATGGTCATTAAAAGCAGAAAGGGCACAGAGTTCTCAAAAATGTAGCAGACACAGATCAGATGGTCATAGATATTTTTAAAAAAACAGCAGAGTAAGCTCAGGATTTAAACTAAAGATTTTCTGTTCTCTACTGGGTCTGACTAGGCTATAACTTATGGCCCAGTGAGAGAGCCAGAGCTCTGTATCTTTAACTGCCTTATGATTAAGCAACAAAAAAGGCATGCTGATTCTTCTGAGGTTTCTTAGAATCAGAATCTCTAGCAGTGCTGTCCAATAGAACTTCCTGTGATTTTGGAAGTTCTTGATCTCTGTGCTATAGGGGACTGAATTTATTTCAGTTAATTTAAATTTAGTAGCCATATGTGGCTAATGGTGATCATATTGGACCATGCAGCTCTGTAGTTTGTGGTTTAGGAGAGATTGCCTTAAGTGCTTTTAAAAAGAAAGAAGGAAAGAATGAATATGGAATATTTATATTATAATTGAATATTTATAAGGAAATAACCAATACTGACAATTTTATACATTTTAAAAAATCAGTATATTATAAAGCAAGTGTTTTTTCTTTTTCTTTCTATAGGATCATCTTCTATGGCATCTGCATGTGGTGGAAGTTTAGCATTAATGGATGCAGGTAAAAGAATTATGTCTCAAGACTACTAATGCTTTATATATACTTGATTAGTATAAAATAAAAGATTTCTTTAAAATTGGATTTTAGTAAGACTTGGAGAAGTCAGATTATAGATTACCAAACCAGGCCAGAAGCAAGATAGTTACAAACTGCAGCTTGAACTATAAGGATATCTGCCGGAATTCTTATTTTTGGCTAAAAGCAGTAAAATGAAATTATTTACTTGCCTTGGTAACCCACTGAGCTTTCTCACCTTCCAAAAGGTGGAGAGCTCCATAATTGATTTTATTCACGAAGGAAGTTTGGATTAGCAAGCAGAAGTATTAGGACCCATAAAGGAAAGTAACCATGTAATATTCCAATTTATTTATGCAAGCCATGAGAAAAACAATGCCCCTCATAGAAGTGTACACAGAATTTTAGAAAGGAAGACTGCAAGTGGTTCAATATAATCTCTGGGTCTGAAACACTAAAAGGGAAAGAAGTCAGCATGTTAAGAGGCTCTGAAAACAATTTCTGCCACAGTCACCAATGATGATATTCAAGAAGAAAGAGAAAAGGAACCTAAAGACTCAAGAGGCCATACAAGGAGCTCCTTATAAGTTTACACATTTACAGTACAGGTATAAAATATGGAAAGCACAACATAACCAAGGATGAAATGAAAGAATGGTGTGAATATATGATAACATTATCCAGAAAGATTAAAACTTAAGCCAAAGCAAAAAAAGCTAAAGGCAATTAAAGGTACTTTTCTAATTGTGTTCAGTAGAAGGAAAACATAATCTGATATTTAAGGCAGTTGGTAAAATACTATTCCTATTTTCACCTTCATGCATTCATTCAACAAATCTTTATGCCACCTCTGTGCCAAGCACTGATCCCAGCTCTTAGGACACAAGTGAACAAAATGAAGCTCTTGGATCACAAGTGAACAAAACAAAGTCCCTGTCCTCGTGGAGCTTGCATTCATTAGTCTTCCAAGCTCATACTGGAAAACACAGAACAAATCCTGAAAAAGGTGAACTGAAAGATAAAATAAAAGGAGATCATAAGAGACTCTTTAACTGCTTTAAATGAATTCAGATCTTTTGATCTAGACAAAGCCCATCCTAAGTAATGATGAGAACTTCAGGATGAGATAACTGAAGTATTTGAGAAATCACAGAGACTAGCATACTAAGGATACAAAAAATTCTTACTTTTGAAAGATAAGAAAGGTATTTTCTGTAAAGTATAACCCAGTGAACTTGACAGTGACCCTTGGCAAGACTCTTAAATATTGACTATGAAAAGAATGGTTTATAAGTATTTTAGAAGGAGGGAAGGGGGCTGTGGAGAGAAGGAACCAGAAGGGACTCACTTAAATTAAGTCATACCATAGTAAACTCATTTTTGTTTTTGAAAATATTACTAGGTTTGGAGTGGACAGGGAGGATACTGCTAATGCAGTGTATCTAGAGTTCAGCTTGGCTGTTTATGATCTTTGTGTAAATGATGCAGAAATTGAGACTGCATGATAGTTACACCATTCATAACTAGTTGAAGGATGAGCACAGGGGACTGGGTAATCTGATCGGTAGGTAGGAAAGGGGTCTCAAGTGGAATACTTTAGATGCTTCATCCTAAACCCTGTCCCATGCTTCATCCTAAACCCTGTCCCTTGCAATGTTTTAGTTATTACTGAGTTTACTGAGAACACGGGCCTGCCAATAAAAAGGAACTGATAAAAAGGAGTAGGTGACCAATATGTTACATGATAATTTTAATCTCTAAAAAAATCTTAACAGGATAAAAAAAAACTATGCATCCAAATATTAAAAAAATGAAATCTGACAAAGTCAAGTCCTTGGGAAAAGCCAATAAATGGTATGCAATTCAATTCAAACACGAGTGCTTGCCATGCCCTACATCAGGCACTGTCCTATATCCAGAGATACAAATGGTACCCTTTTTTTAAAAATCTTACAGGTGCAAAAACAAAGATACTAACAGATCAAAGAGATAATACAAATACGTACAAGGCACAAATAGATACAATATGGCTGAAGAACTAGGTTGAAGATAATTGGCTTTATAGAAGACAGCTACATTTCATCTGGTTTTAAAGGTTGAGTAGTTGTTGATCCGGCATATTAGGATCAGGGACTGTATTTCATGTGAAAGGAATAGCATATGCAAAGTTATGATGCAGTATAGTTGTGTGCTTCTGAAATGTATTCGAAAGAAGTGAAGTAATAAACTGGGACCGGATTTTAAAGGTCATTGTTATGCTAAGGAGTTTGAACTTAAAGCTAGTCTTTTCCAACTCAGTATTCCATGAAATAGTGTTCCATAGGATGTTGATTATTGTATAGCGTGAAAAAATTATTCTGTTCTAAAGTACATTTGAGCAGAGTTAGGCAGGTTTATTTAATATGGGTTAAACAGACCTTAATATGATAATATGAATACTGAATCTCTAGGAATAGGATATGTACTACTTCCCAAACTTTTTATTATTTTTTGTGAGGAAGATCAGCCCTGCGCTAACATCCATGCCAATCCTCCTCTTTTTGCTGAGGAAGACTGGCCCTGAGCTAACATCCATGCCAATCTTCCTCCAGTTTATGTGGGATGCCGCCACAGCATGGCCTGACAAGTGGTGCATCGGTGCGTGCCCGGGATCTGAACCCCGGGCCGCCAGCAGCGGAGTGCGTGCCCTTAACCGCTATGCCACAGGGCCGGCCCCCCCAAACTTTTTTGATGACAGAACATGTATAAAAATTTCCTGAAAGCAGATAATGGGGAACTTGAACGATTTTATGTAGAAAAGTGGCATGATTTGGATCTGCCTTTTTTTTTTTTTTTTTTTTTTTTT